GCCTGTGTAGCATCCAGAAGACAAATGATCACATCTCTTTAGACTCTGATTTCTGGGGGTGCCTCTCTCTCACTATTAACTATAGAGAGCGCCTAACCGTTAGGCAATCTGAAGTAGTAGAGGTTAATGCTAGCATAAAGGTCTAAACTCTGTCAACTGTGTCTGCAAAACTGCATGTTCAAACTGGGGAAATTGCACTGAGCCTGAGAGAAAAAAGGTGCATAGCTTCTCTCTTTCTATTTCTGAAAAAACAATGCAACACCCAGCTTTTGCTGGCATATGTGCGTATGTATATAAACTTGTCATCATCAGTTACACATGCATGTGCACACGTACACATACGCAAACACACACACAGATGTCTGGCAAAATACCGCAAAACTAAGCTGATACCTATTCTGCCTAAAACGATTAATGCAGGAGTATACCGTGATCACTGAGAGCCGCGCTGAGCTCATGAATCCCTCTTGAAGTGGGATATCCATGCTGAAAAGGCCTCGTGAATGGGGCTGGGATCTTTTGGTGTCGGGGCGCTGGGGGCAGCCCCATCCTGGGAGCGGGAGCGGGAGCGGGAGCGGGAGCAGGAGCAGGAGGGAGCCAGCACAGGCCACCGAAGCCAGGGCTGAACACGCAGGTTTGGCGTGTCTGCAGGTTCAGCCCTCTCCGTACAAAAGCGCCGTCCCAAGGCCGTCCTCCTCTGCCTCCACCTGAGAACTGTTTCTGGGATTTCCATCATTTTACTTTCTAAAGTATCTGGAAGTGACTTCTAGCCACTTGATGAAATGTATGTGGAGCTCATAAGGCCAGGTAAGTAGTCCAATCTGCAGTAATGAATAATAAAAAACAGCTATTTATGTGAAAAATATATGATTTGGATCAATGAAGAAAAGAAATACTGGATTTGGATTTGTTTTGGATTTGTTTGCTTATTACTGATATGCATGTAGAAGACATATTATAAGACAATATTGATCCTTTTTTTTTTTCCTTACTGTTGCTATAGAGAAGTCTTGGGACTAGGAAATGTTTGTAGCCATCTCTAAAGCCCCCTTATGCAAGACCTGTGCTTAAGCTGAAGTCTCCAATTGGGTCTGATTCTCCAAATACACCTTCATCTTAGTCCCTGCTCTATGAGCTGGCTCTACACTACTGGCTTGCTGCTGATTGACATCTTTTCGCAGTATCATGAAGCTAAATACAGGTTAATTTATTTCTTGGTTGGATGGATTAATCTACGTTGAGGTCCTTGGTGCCAAACCCTGAGCTGGCTACTTTAAACCTATTTAAGATATCTCTGCTCTGAACTGCGCTGTGCTCGCTTGGGCAATAGATTGATCTCTTGTCTTGTGGCTTCAGTGGCCACTTACAAACTCCAGACTGATGACGAGGCACTCTCCCGCGCACTGCCAGGCAGGTGGTAGCTACTCTGCAGGGAGGTAACGGGCACAGGGAAATCAGTGCTGGTGTTTCAGTGACAGTTACAAATACAAGTGTAGTTACAGCTAGAGTTATAAATGATGTAAACTTCTTCAGCGTGCCTTTTTCCTTCAGGGTTTGGGGAGAAGAGCTGGAGAAGGAGAGCTGGAAAATGCTGGTTCACCAAACCCAAATTCTCGAGAGCGCGCACTAAGTCTCATGTTCTCCACATCCCAGTGCGAGCCTCAGTTGGGTCATCGCAGTTATGCAGAGGCGCAAGCAAGGCATGTGAGCTGGCACTTCCTTAAAGATACCTTATTCAGGACAGAAGCGCAAACTGCTGGCACACAGCAAAACCTGGAAGGCTGATGAGAGAGCAATTCAGCTACAACAAGAAAGGACCAGAAAGGGGAAAGTGAGCTAATTGGTAACGATACATTTTGGTAGATACATAGTTGTTTGGATCAGCCCAGACAGAAGGAGGTATTTCTCACATCATGTAGTTGCGCTGTGGAACTTTTTACTGTGCCATTTTGTTTGTGCCTAGAACTTTTTTTGAAATTATGGGAAAAATTCATTGTAGAAGAATCCACCCAGGGCTATTACAGGCAAAGATACAACCTCTTGCTCAGGAAGTCCCTCAGCTACAAGTCATTAGAGATTGGTAAAATATTAATACATACTTGCCCTGTTCTTATACTTTTCCTAAATACCTACCATTGACCTTGGTTGGAGGCAGGATAAAAGGCCAGATGGACCTTGACTGGAAGGAAGCTGTTTTCATGTCCATAAGTCACAAAGTGAGATACAAGTATCTCAAGGGACATGGAGGGTAACCAGAAAATGTGCCGTAGTAGTGAGATATAAAACAAAGGAAAGGGTTAATTCACTGCTCGGGGGAAAGAAAGAGATACTAACTAGTGACACTAAAAGAGCATAAGAGTTTCATTTGTTTTTCTCTTCCTTCTTTATTTGGCTAAAATCAGTTTTCACAGTTGGTGGTTGTATTAAAAGGGCAAAATTCTAGCTACCGCAAGGAAAGGGCAGGTTGAAGAGGATTTAGGTAAGGTTTTTAAATCATCAGGGCTTGATGAAATTCGCCTTGAGGTACTAGACAGCTGACTGAAGCAATTTATCCGTGATCTTGGGGAAGTCAAGGAGGACAGGGGTTGGCAACTCCCATCCAGTTCAAATACTAACATTCACCACTTCTCTAGCAAAACCTACAATGAACCACAGACAGAGGCGCCCCGTGGTCTCACTGCAGGATCGAGCAGAGGATAGAACTGAGCTGCAGAGAGACCTTTTAAACTTTCACACACAAATAACTGAAACTTGACAAAGAGAAAACTGGGGGGAAAAAAATCAAATAAGCTTCTTTTTAATAATCTCTTTTAAAGTTTATTCATGTTTCTACTTTCTTCCTCCACATGAATTTGCCTCCCTCCGTTTCTTGGCCTGCAGAATTCGTATGTTGCATTCTTGGCCTAAAATCCATACAGCACCATGAAGGGTGTAGTGAAAACAGTTTATAAATCTTTTTCATTAGTGTGGTGGGAAACCAACAAGAATGCCAAGAAACAATTAAAGAGTTGCATTAACTGGAGCTGTTTTCAATAAAAAAGAAAGTACAAGCATCTGCTTTTTTCCACTACTCTTTAGGATGTCTGATTTGACTAGTACCCGCTGATAGTAACAAGATTGACATGAAACAACACTTCTTCCAGCTGCACACTGTGTTCCAGTGTGCTTAGGTATCCACGATTTTTTGCTCTTCTAAGAATAATCGGGCCAAAGATTGAATTCTGTATTTCACGTGCTGAGACTTCGAAGCTGAAATGAGCACTGTCCTTGAGTGGTAGACTCTGGAACCTACCCATTGACATGCAAAGCCAGTACACCAGCTTGCTTCTTTTGAATAAAATCAATACATGTAACATTGACAGTTTCCAAGTATACAGTTCTATAGTTGCTGTCATAAGACAAAAATGTAAAGCTCTAACTGGTGCAAAGGGTGGCTAAATTGCAGTTCTATGCTGTTTAAACACAACTTGGTCACAAATTTGAAGAGAGGTGAAGCTTGCAATTGTTTTAATATGAATGAGTAGCTGCAAATCTTACATTTTTAATATTTAGGCCAAAGGAAGCACTGGTTTTCCGAACATTTTACTATGCAAAATGCACAGGAATATTTCCATGATATTAGGTAATTCTGTATCAAACATATTTGTAATTCTAAGTAGTTTGGTGATATTTGAGCAGAATGGAACTGTGAGAGTCAATGCTAGTGCTGTCTTGGGTATATTGTTTCCTGCACGCTCTAAAGCAATCAAACTATTCTGCAAATGTTCTTCAAAGAATACATCTAGAACGTTACTTCATTAAACGTCTCCTTGGCATTCATTCTATTTTCCATTTTGAATTGCTGCATTTAGTTTTGAAATGACCTTTTAGAGCAGTGAAATTTTATTAACTCTTTGATCCACTGGCACGGAGATGAAAACAACAGTGAAAAGGGAAATACAGAAATGAGTGCTTTTTGGCTGTCTCATATTGTGGAACAGCATGAAAAGGAAATAAGTCCTATCACTAAAAGGATTACATGTTGCTTGATATTGCTGGCATTCCCTTCGTCCTCCTACTAATGTTAACGATCAATGTTATATATCTGTACATGTTAGTCTTACGGCTTTCTGTTAAATATAATAGGACATATTTTGCCTTCAAATACTCTCTTACTGTACACAGCATTTAAGGTCTAAATTTTGTGCTCTTTGCCTTTTTTCTTTCTGTAACTCAATATCTTTATAAGTCTGGGGCTAGATTCACTTATTCCATGAATTATTCCTAAGCAAGCAGGGTTAAATGAGTTCCTACGAAAGATGCTCTGAAGAGGTGGTATACATTAGAGTCACAGTTCAGTCCTTGCTTTTCTTTCTTCTAAAGTGGAAGTAAGGAAGGATGCCAGCACAGTTTATTCCTTGCTCAGCACTGTGCTGGTATTACTAGAGCATTTAGAGGTCAGGGAAAAGACTTGGAGTTAATGGGAAGTGGAATGGTGGTCCATGGGCAGATTTTCCTCTTTTCCTCACTGTGACCTGCAGTTTGTCTGACATCCTTGACATTGTCTTGCACGGAAATATAGGTGGATCTACAGCCGAATGCACTGTGCTCAGTGTCACTCTGCCCATGCAATGAATATTCATTAATTTAAGAATAGCCAAGCTAGACTACAGAGAGCTCTATGCTTGATATCCACCGAGAGTCCATGCACTTTTCTCTGACATGAATACTGAATATTGGACAGAGTTTAGCTCTGTCCTGGCTGTGAAGAAATCAAACAAAGTCTGAGCCTACAGAGCAACAGAGTTCATATCAAACAATTGCCTTCTGCTATACCCTTAGCCGCAACCACTCTTCCTAGCCATGACTAATCATATTGGCTGGATTTACTTGACTTACCCTTCATGGGAAGGGTCTACCATTTATTTTGTATTAGTAAGTGGAAGAAATACCATATTCTACCATTGCCATCATACAGATTTGAGCACTGCTTTCTCCAAAAAAGTTATGAAATACAGAAGTAAATTGAAAGCTCTCAAAACCACTTATTACAAACAACAATGAACATGTTTAGGTCATATATTGTGTGCTCCTGGATGTTTAAATAAACTGTATTTAAAATTATGTACCATTGTACTATTTTTAATTCTTTTATCACTACAGAGCCTTTTAATTCTTCTGTCACTACTGTACTATTGTGCTGCTCAGAGCCTTCGACCATGCCCATCACCATAATACCCAGATTAAAATAGATCAAGATCAAAAGAGGAACCTTTTCACCAATAGCTGAACTTCCTGAGAAGCATAGAAATGGGCTAAAAAGCTGGGATTTTAAAGATTTTAATTAGGAGTCCAGACAGAGAGAGGTGTCTTAGCAATATCATCTGTCTATTTTATTAGAAAATTGGGAAAGACATATACATTACCTATATCACAAGTTCAGTTGTACTAGTGAAAAAGGAGTTCTGAATAGCTAGCAGGGCATGGCATCAAAGATGATTGAGGGCTCTGTTACACACATAGACACACACACCCAGAGCTAATCTCACCGCTCAGTTTTATAATCTTTGTCTCAGCAACTGACAAATGTTTTATCTGTAAAGTATCTACAGAATTTCTAAAAAGCTGAACTCTGCTATTATAAAATTAAGCTGAACTAGAAACAAAAATTACATTTGTGCTGAAACTGATCTGAATTATTTTTTCTGATGACTTTTGCCTTTTCTTTAACATGCAGCTATACCGTTATTGCTGAGCATAAGAAGCAGAGAATAAAGGAAGCAAATTTGACAAAACAGTAATTTCACAGAAAAGGAGAAGATAGATAATTCTATAAGAAGCCTTTAAAGAATGAAATATACATTACCTCATTCTGCAGAAAGATATTGGTTTTGAAGTTAAAAAAAAAATTTATAAATATTATAAAAAGGAAAAAACATGCCTTAGGTATTGCTCTAGTAAGCATCATAGTTTTTCCTTGTTGATTTCCATTTCAAAATTATGACTGGACGTAAATCGGTCTGCTTCTGAAATTTATATATGTTTAGCATGAAACAATGTCCTTAACTTATTTGTCCATTAGGCCTATAGTGTTGAAAGCAAGCAAGCAAGCAAGCAAGCAAACAAGGAGGAATTTAGTAGAAGAGCTGTATTTTCAATCCACAGTGCAACAGGCAGATAATGAAAGGACCCAGGCAATAGTTACTATGAGTTCCCACCTAAAAATAAATAAATAGGTAAATAAATTAAGATTTGGTTGCCGCAACTGTATGTGTTACTCATGGCTGTTAAGAACCTTTTTCCTCTTCCATTTGGTCTGATCCCATATTAGTTTAGTAGACTTATTCCAATTCACAGACCCCAGTCAGCGACGTGTGTCGCTGAAGACGAACTGAAATTAGCAGTCTCTGAATACTTTCCAGGTTCTGCCCACACAGCTCTGACTACAAGACTCAAGCCCTTTATTCTCCCATGAAGAGACACCTACCTTAACATTTTGCATGCACTGGAAACAGTGCGTGTGCTAAACATGCTTTATTGGATTTGCTCAAAAGCTGGCAATAATTGAGGCACCCTTAAAAAAAATAGAACAAAGATGGAAATAAACTGAAAGTCATATTTTTACTATTTATTTTATGTTCTGGTAGTGTCTCCTGTCAAAGATTTTTATGCCAAGTGCTGTACAAATGCAGAGCTGTCCCTGCCCCCAAAGCAGCTGTCACTATGGGGTGTATTAATAATTATTGCCTTTAAATATTCCATGATGTAGATAAATAAGACCAAGTTTTCTTTTTGTTATTATCATCTTTTGTTTCCAAAGCATTCAAAACTGTAGATGTATTTCACGGTAATCCATCTTAAATGCTTTTATGGAGTATAGTGAAGATACTTCATCTGCAAAACAAAACCAAATAAAACAGTTAGTTTTAACTCTTCATTACAAGATAAATACCACGAAGTAAACTGTTACTTTCCACACAGGTCAAACAAATGATCCGTGGCTGAGGTGTTATCTTTCTTCTCATTTCCACTTCATACATTAAGGAAATAAAACAAACAAAATAAAACTTTAAGGGTTAGAAGACGTTATCTGATGGTGGTGATTACCACATGAACATATTCACAGATAGTCATTTATACAAGTACTTATAAAAGATACACAAAAAAGGGTGGAAGTGAACTATGTTTTCATTCGTGCTTTTTTAAAAAGAAAAAAGAACAGAATTCAGAATGCTAAACTTTGACCGTGGTGCCATCCATTAAAATCTCCAGTTAATTTTTTATTCAGAAATTAATTTAATTCAAATATATTTCAGCAATGGGAAATGTCTCAGTGAAATGATAGAATAGCTTTCGTAGAGCTAATAGCCTCTTTCACAGTGATGGTGGAACATCATACAATTTTCAGCACAGATCAAGTACATCGATTTGAGTTTTCTTAGCACCTATTTAGCAGAAGGTAGCCAGTAGCCAAGAACAGAGCCAGCCAGCCGCTGACCTCACTGCTTGGTGTGGGCACTTTGTTTTGTAAGCTGCTCTGTTGAACAGGGATGCTTCAGCGTTAGTGGTACCCTCTTTATGACATTTCTGACACTGTCCACCAAAGGTTCAAGGGGATAAACAGTCTCCATTAAATCTTGTTCAAACAAGGTTCTTTCAGGAACTGCACTGAGCATACTCTGACTTCCTAACATGGGGGCTGGTGTTTCCCACCTGCCTGACATTTTACATCATACCTGTCAATCAGATATGAAAAGATGAAGCAAAATGAATATTCCTCTAATCCGGATAGCGAAACTGAAATTAAGAGTTGTTCTTTCTCAATATTCCATCATTTCATACCACTAATAACACCGATAGTTCCATAATTTACTTTTTTTAAAAGTCCCTTTAAGATCTCGAAACAAGGAGCTCCCTTTCCTTAACTAGTAGGAGTTGATTTTACCAGAAAATGTTCTTCCTTCCCATCTAATATATCTGTGATGCTGTTTTACTCAGTCCTAAGCACCTGGAGCTATATAGCTTCAGCAAGGAAAGAAAACTGAATGCACAGCACAAACCTGGGTGAATTTTTCAGCAGCTTTACACAGCTTCAGTGAAAGGTAGAGAACAGGCAGATGATGTGGGATTTGTTTTGGTATCAGGCAGTTGGCCTCAGTTAGACTGTAGAATGTATTTCTTCTCTATAGCTTATCCTATTGCAAAATCTGTTGTTCATGGTTCTTAAGAGCACGGGAATATGGAAAGACTGCATTGCTCTAAGCAGAGTAAGGTGTCTGCAACCTTCAAGTAACACCAGTTTTTTTACAAATGACAATGCTTTTTAAAAAGAAAGCCTCTGAGTAACTGGAAGTTATAGTTAAATACGTTACAGAAAGCTATCTTTTAATTATCATGTTAAAACCAGTGGTTGGTTCCATTAACCTGTGGTTGTCAACATCTGCCTGTGAAAGCTCCATCTGTAATGCTTTTCTTATGTCATATACTATATTGTTCCAAACACTTATCAGCCCTATATGCCACAGACTGATTTTTGGAGGGACTCATCCACAGAATTTTTTTTGACTTCTTCATGTTTCTGACACACCATTTACTATTTTGAAATGTTTACATCTTCAATGACAAATCTTGAAAACAGAGCAGAATCCAAACTTTTGAGTTTATCTTAATGCCAGGAGTCATAAGCCATAAGCTTTGCATGATTTCCATCTGTAAACGTGAAATGGATGAAATTTGATGTCTGCAAATGTCTGTGAGACCAGTCTAACCTCCTGGCTTGTTACAGAGCATAAAACCACCTGAGTTCTGCTTGATTTTGTGGTTGTTTCCGCAGCAAACTGACAATAATTGTCTTTGATTTTTCACTTTTCAACACTGTCTACAGTAAAATAATAGTTTCCATCTTTATGCAGTGTAGACTTGCTTGCTAACATCATTTAGCTGAGGCTATGGAAAGTAAGCATTTACTTCCCAGCCGTTGTTAAAATGCCATTACAGATTGTATTTAAATTTATACATTACATAAAAAGTAATTATGTTCATGTGAAATGATGATGGTGATGATGATGATGATGATGATGATGATAAGATCAAGCAGCAGATGTGTGAACATAAATGCCTGCCACCTGATTTTAAACATCAGATGAGCTAAATGGAAGCTTAAGTATCTTTTGGGGATCATTTTGTTAACTCAATATAAATAATTCTTCAAATTTTATTCTCCATTTGAAGATACAGTAAATTATAGTAGAATGTTTTTCATAGTGTTGATATTATAGCAGCACTGACATCATTACTTAAGAGGCAACTAATTGAGAAATGCACTAGGTATAAGGTTTATTAACATGCATCAGTAGGGGCATAGTCTAAAATTCAGTACCTCGCAACAAACTGTGCAGATACTTAACCATGCCTGTTCTCAACATTAAGCCCATTAAGGAACAGCCAAGGGTCTCCTTCACATCTACTGCCCGCTGGGCTTTCCTTTCTTTACCCATCTCACAAATTTTTCCAGAAAACACCTGTTGGATTGGACAAAAAGCAGTGGCAGAGTCACCGATCCTTGCCACCTTTTATTTGATATATTTGTTTTGATAACTCATAAAGAGTATACAAAACACATGCTTACATCTCAGTTTTGCTTCACTGGATTTTGTCCATACCTGTAACCTCTCAAGAACAGGCCTAACCATCAGAGTATTCCATCCTCTCCGTCCACTGCGTCTGAACTGCTATGTTCTGCATAAAATAATTTAGATTTACTAGGCCAGAAGGGAGCAGGCAGGCAGCAGTTAGGGCAGTTGACGAGGAACAGAGGCTCAGGCAATACAGAACATGTTGGGTGAGAGCTCAGGCCTCAACTCCTGTGATTCCTTAGTATGAAATACTTGAACGTAAGGAGAGAAGGGGAGGGAAGAGAAGGTGGCAGAGTAAGGCTCTGGCTTTCTTTGGCTCCCAGTCTCTCCATACATTGCACAGGAAAACTCTTTGCGTAGCTCAGTGCTGTGGTTCTTGCTAGGCATCTAAAGGTATGGCTGACTGTAAAGGTATGTACTCCAAAAGCACTTTGCAGGTCCAGTCATATGATGACTACATCACAGCTCATGTTTGAGTAAGAGGTGGTACCCCATTGTTCTGTTTTTCCCCTGAGCCCTGGAAGGACCTAAGAGGGTCATAAAAGTGCTACATACGTCTGACTCCCCTCTTACACGTGGTCTGAACATCTTCCGCAGTTCTCAGTCGGACAATTCTCTTTTCCATAGGTCTGGAAAAATATGGTTTCCTCCAATGAATCTAAAGATGTATCCTGGGATGAAGCAATCATTGCCTATCCATTGTAAGGATGAAAGAAATAAAAGAACACAATGGAAATCGCATTAAAAATGCCAATGGAGAGCGTAGAGTTTTATTATACTGTGTCTTTTTCCACTAGCCTTGCTCAAGAGGTTGACTGCCATGATATGGACAAAAACTAGTGTTTCTACCTAGGCTGTGAGGGATAGCCCTAGTTAGAGGAAGCTACCCTAGCTATAATGTATTATAAAATCATTTTTAATTTATTAGAAGAAGAAAAGATCAAGGATTGTTTCCACTAACCTTAACCACTTTATTGGTATTAAATCATATTAAGTTGCTGTTATTTTCTTATATTTGGCATTTTCTTCTGGTTGTTTATTCTGATTCGCCTTGGCCTCCTGCCAAATGTGCATCTAGTGTCGAGAGTCAGTTCTAAACTCCATTTTTCCTATAAAAAATGAAGAGAGATAATTATATTTAAGAGCACTGTATAAAAAAAAGTAGCTGTAATTTACTTCTATGGGTAGGTATAGAGCAAAACAATATCTTTAAAAAGACATATCATGTGAGCTGCTTGGATAGACCATATATATGTATCACCTTCATACAGCTTAAAAAAGAGCTCCTGAACGTGTGCATTACTGAAACATGTAAAGCCCTACAATAAGGGAAAAAAAATCTGACACTGCATAAGACAACGCACCCAATATGAGACAAGAGCTTCCTCTATTCTTCTGTGAAGACAGTCCACAAAACTCAAGACACTACAGGCTCTGAGAGATGAATTTTTGTACATTTGGTTAAACTAATATTACATTCAGACTAATGCAAATAACATTTTCATGTCACATAACTATGAAGTCTAGTGTCACATGGAAGTAGATCAAGAATAACTCCACTGAACTTAGACTGTCTGTCTGATAAGTAGAGAACAGGAATGTGTGTGTGTTTATATGTCCAAATATCGTTAATTACTTTACTGAGCTTATTCTAGGAGTGAAGTTGGTGCTTACAGTTCCCAGGCGACGTATTGACTCTTTAGAAGTCTATCAGTGAATTGAATATATTCTGCAAGCTTTATAATTCTATGTCTTTAGACTTACTATTGTAAAATAAGATTTGCATTAGTATTCAGAATACGTGCAGATAAAGCAATTAGCCACTTTAGAGTTTGCTTATTGGTAATAGTGTCCATACTAATTAAATTGATTAACAACATATGTAGTCTAATATGACGGCCAGATCAGGACTAAATTTTTCTTATGTATATACTATAACTAGGTTATTCAGTTAAATAGCATAAAAGCTAATTGATTAATACATTCTAAATACCCAGTGGAGATTAGGGGAATTCATTGATTCTAAAATTACACTAGTTTTAAATGGTCTGATACCACTTTAAGTGCCTAATTTTAGGTAACTAAGTTTGAACACTTGGCCTATTCCTTTTAAGTAATACAGTTAATGTGTGCAAATTAACTAAAATATCCCTGTATCCTGATTCTTGAGTCATGTCCTTTTACTCTTGCAGTAAATTCTTCTATAAATACCATGAAGACAGATTAAATATATAACAAAGCATCTAGAAAACTTTCCTACAACCATAAGTCTGTACTAAATTTAACTTTGCTATAATAAACCTATATGTGGAAAGGAGAAAAAATTGTTTATGAATTTCAAAATTGCTTTTCTTACTGAAATTCTGTCTGTTCCATGATCCAAAAGATAGCATGAATACAGCGAAAATTTTGGAAAAAATATGCAAGAAAGAAAAGGTTACTTTGTAAAGTAAAATTGCACATGGCTTGCTGTTTAAGCATTTGAAAATGGAAAGACAGCATTTTACTAGTGGCAATCTGAACTTACATACAGCTATACTGAATCCTTATGAAACTTCTTGAAAGATTGAAAACTGTCTTTTGGTCTCATTTCTTATGAAAGTTACTTGGATATCCTGAATTATCAAATTTTGTAGGGTACTATTTGACTTTTGTTTAGTCAATAAGGAGAACTCCAATTTTTTGCTTTCCAGTCTTGCCTACATGCATCCTCTGAAATAATTAACTGTATGGTTATCAGATTAGCACTGTGCAAACCACATATAATGACACTGTATTTTCACTACCTTTGCATCACGCATACGCTTTGGTAAAGAGCATTGCAACCCTCAATAGTGAAAATAGCCACTTCGATCAACCTTTCGTTGTTTTTAGATGCCCTGGAAACCTCTGTCAGCTTCTGCAGGTCCACACCCTGTCCTCTGCACATCAGCTAAAATACATTGGCCTCTTTTCATGAGCCCATCCCAATCCTAAATGTTTTTGGATGCTTATCTGAATCCAACAGAATCTATAAATCTTTTTACGATTTACCTATTGCTAGCTGTCTAGTTTGTGCCCAGAGCTAATAATGGCAACTCAATTTATGGTAGCATCTTGTGACTTATGTTTCTAGTCCGCAATGTCAGCAGCAGAGCCATGTTCAACAAAATCCTCCTTAGTCTGCTTCCAGTTTTGTAATGTGATCACTGACTCTGTCTAGCAGATTCAGAAACATCATCCCACAAACCAAATGTAAGCTGAAAATCACTTTTACATATTTCCTCATTAAAATGAGAATTTGTACTTTTTCAGATCTGCAGCTGAATAATTGTAATTGCAGTAAGCTAAGTTTTAAAATTTGATGTTTTCTTGCCATATAAATGTTACAGATGTACATACAAACAACAGCTAAATTAACATCTGGATTCGCTAATAAATTTGTTTTGTTCTCTTGCCTTTTGAAAACTTAGCAATATCAGCTGAGCTTTTTAAAACAATTTATCTAATGGGATGTTATCAAATAGAGAATAATATGCACCACTTACCACATTTGTTGTTTATTAACTACATTTTGAAGTGAATAACATCTTTTCCTACTGAACCTTGTTAATAGGCTGTATTTGAATAAAACTTGCATAAGTTGTTCTAACTTAGTTCAGAAGAGTGAGAAATTCCACTATTTAGAAAGTATTGTTGCTTAAACACTGTGATGGCTGACATGCTGAGAAAACAAACAGGAAAAATATTTTGACTGTGAGAAAATTAAGGTCATGCACGTTCTTTCTATAATTAAATTTTTCTAGACTTTGTTCACATCACTAATTAAAAACGTAAGTGTATAACCTACTTCTCTGTCTTCATCACTCCCACTGCCCTACCTCACTTTTAAATGACATGAAGAAAGACAAGTAACCAAAAACAAGTAACAGGAGATATTGAAAAGAAGGTTACGGCTAACATGTTGTCTTGCTCTGTGTGTGCAGTTGAGATGTTCACAGTAATTCTCTGAAACTGGATTTTGCACACCACAATCCTTTCCTGTGCTTAGTAATATGGAAGGCAGATGCAAAGAGGAATTGTGAAAAGATTGCTTTGTAATATATGATAAAGTCAATATTCCTGTCTTCAGGAATTTGGTCTCAAATGTCATGCACAGTCAGTACCACATTATCCTTTCTTAAAATATTTTTCATTTTTAAAAGTATTTGTGAGAAGTCTATTTTAAATTTTACTTTGTAATTTATTTCACTCATCCTTAATTTGTTGCCTGGTTTTTGACAAATTCCCTGCATGCATTTCAGTCTACTGTCTTAAAGGATTGGGATTCTCATTGATTTTACAGAGACTAGGATTAGATATTCTGTGGGAACCCTGGCCCTTGAGAACAAGCACTGGCATATAGGTGGATGAGTGGGAGGATAAGAAAGATTTACCACGTGTCCTGCAAGTTTTAAATAGCTGTCCTGCAAGTTTTAAATAGCATGTATGCACTTGGCCTGTCCTCCCGAAACACAGACACCCTGCTGGCACTTCAGTGGACTTGAAACCGTTTACAATGAATAACATAAAATGATTTCCTGAGCCCTAATGTAATGACTATGTGAAAGAGGAAACTGTCCAACACAGGATGATAGTCCCAGTCAGTAGGACCCGGGTGAGGGCCAAAGCAGAGAGCCTTGATATCTTCTAATTAGCTTATGTGGTTGGCGCTACTGCCTGAGACAGTGCCAATGCTCGAGAAGATATGAGATCTACATCCTCCTACTGAAAAGGACTGAGGAAAAGATGAGGTGCTAGGGTTACTGTATTTTCACTCCTTTTTTCCCCAGGATGCATGCTAAGTAATCACTGTAACATATGATGACTGTCTTTTATCAAATAAGTCATGTTTCCTGTTCATTATGTTCAATATAGTGCTATATGTATATTTCCATTAAAAAGGTCATTTACTGAACAGGTAGTTTATGTAGGTTGCACGTATCAGTTGTGATTTAGAAAGTAAGAATTTACTCCAGGATGGAGAGCCCTGCTCTGTCTAGATATAAGTGTACCGTGGTATCTTGCTATAGCCTAGTGTATAGCATAAGTGTAGTCAAACCAAAAATATTCATGTCAATACATGTCACATTGAGCCTGGTGCCTGTACTATCAGTACCTATTAAGCGCAGAATATGAAAACTACTGGCAGATGGTCCCATATCCATGACATAAAAATAAGAAGAGAAAATATGTATAATTTGTTGTTTTTATTTGAACGTTCTGTTTCGATATATTGAGGAAGAATTTAGTTGCTCTGTCAGTAATACTCTTAGCAGAGAGCAAAGCAATAGCATTCCCTAAGCACAAAGGGAAAGTAAATTAAAGGGGAGGTATATATTTTCCTTGTTCTGAATTTCTGTGTAGGCTCACTTCAGTTTCAGGCACCCTTCAGTTGGAAGCTATGTTGCCTCCTTAACTTTCCATTAGCTCTAACTGATGCATTTTCTTCCAGCAAAGTTGATCCAAAGCCTGGCTATATTGTGTACATGGGATATTTTACAATTGAAAATAGCAATTTGTGAACTGTGCAAATGCATGGTGCAAACAACAACCCATTTTTCAGTTTTTCTTTAGGGGAATTTGACAATTTTGTCATTATTCAGAAGATACAATCCCAATCCTATTTTAATAATGTTATAGTGTCATGGGTGCAGGACTTGCAACATCTCTCATTCAAGTCTTAGCTTTTCATCTAACTATAATAACAAAAAGGCCAAGCACTATGAAATGTTCAGGACTCCAGAAAAGGTTCTGTAGCTACAGAAGTGTGTGTAAATCTAGACCTAAACTCAGTCCTTTCATAGACTTCTCATCAGCTTCAGAAGAAGCTATGTATTGTTGCACAGGGTAGCCAAATAGGGTCTTTAAAGAGATCCTCCTCATCAGTCATATCTGACTGAGTTGTTACGATTTCTTCTGCATGTACACAGCCTGAAATTCCTATGTCAGTAGTTACCATTATTTACCTAAAGGGGGCTTCTCTTTGCTTAATTTTATACAATCACAGAAAAAAGGCCATGGGTAACACAGCACAAACAATAAAACATCTGCAGGTGTTTTGCAGAAGTGTGTTAAGTGCTACACATTG